CTTTCTTGCAGTGAGGGGCCCAAAACTGCACAGAATTATTTGAGGTGCAGCCTCACCAGTGCGGAGTACAGGGGCACAATCACCTCCCCACTCTTGCTGGCCACACCGTTTCTGATACAGGCCAGGAAGCTGTTGGCCTCCCTGGCCACCTGGGCAGACCGCTGGCTCATGTTCACCCGGCTGTTGACCAGCACTCCCAGGTCCTTTTCCACCAGGCAGCTTTCCAGCCACTCATCCCCAAGCCCGTAGGGCTGATCGGGGTTGTGGCTGAAGTGCAGGACCCGGCACTTGGCCTTATTGAAACTCATGGAATTCATGCTTTAGCACAATATTACAGTGTTGCAAACACTGAGAACAATGTTTACATTTCAAGAAACAAGTTAAAATCCTGAAACTTACCGTCCCTGTAATTAGACCTGAAGTTTCAAGTTAAATTCCCCCCTCATCCAGGTCATTAATAAAGATGTTAAACAAAACCGGCCCCAGTACTTAGCCCTGGAGGACACCACTTGTGACCAGCCACCAGCTGGACTGAACTCCATTCACCACAACTCTCTGTGCTCGGCTGTCCAGCCAATTTTTTACTGAGCTTAGAGTGCACCTGTCTAGGCCATGAGCCACCAGCTTTCTCGGGAGAATGCTGTGGGAGAGAGTGTCAAAGGCTTTACTAAAGTCCAGGTAGATGACATCCACAGCCTTCCTCTCATCGACTAAGCGGGTCACGTGGTCATAGAAGATCAGGTTGTTTAAGCAGGACTTGCCTTTCACGAACCCATGCTGGCTGGGCCTGAGTCCCTGGTTGTCCTTCACGTGCCATGTGAGTGCACACAAGATGAACTGCTCCATAATCTTCCCCGGTGCCAAGGTCGGGTTGACAGGCCTGTAGTTTCCCAGATCCACCTTCCAGCCCTTCTTGCAGATGGGAGTCACATTGGCAAGCCTCCAGTCATCTGGGACCTCCCCAGTTGATCAGGACTTCTGATAAATGATGGAGAGTCGTTTGGCCAGCTCCTCCGCCAGCTCCCTCAGTACTGTCAGGTAGATCCCATCTGGCCCCACAGACTTGTGGATGTCCAGGTGGCAAAGCAGGTCATTAACTGCTTCCTCCTAAGTTAAGGGGGGTTTATTCTGCTCTCCATCCCTATCTTACTGCTCAAGGGGCTGATTTCCCTGAGGGTAGCTTGTCTGACTATTAAAGACTGAGGTAAAGAAGGCATTAAGTACCTCAGCCTTTTCCTCATCCTTGGTGACAATGTTCCCTTCCACATCAATAGAGGATGGAGATTCTCCTCAGCTCTCTTTTTGTTGTTAATGTATTTGTAGAAACATTTTTTGGTGTCTTTCGCAACAGGGGGCAGACTGAGTTCTAGTTGGGCTTTTGCCTCTCTTAATTTTCTCTCTGCATGACCTAACAAGATCCCTATACTCTTCTTAAGTTGCCTGCCCTTTCTTCCAAGAGTGGGAAACCCTCCTTTTTTCCCTGAGTTCCAGCAAAAGCTTCCTGTTCAACCAGGTTAGTTGTCTTCCTTGCCAGTTCATCTTCAAGCACACAGGGACTGCGTGCTCCTGTGCCTTTAAGACTTCCTCCTTGAAGAATGTCCAGCCTTCCTGGACCTCCTTGCCCTTCAGGACAGCCTCCCAAGGGACTATCTCGACCAGTGTCCTGAACAGCCCAAAGTCAGCTCTCCAGAAGTGCATGGTTGTGGTTTGACTGCCTCTCCTCCTAACTTCACCAAGAATAGAAAACTATCATACAGTGGTTGCTAAGCCCAAAACGGTTTCCGACCACCACATTTCCCACCAGTCCTTCTTTGTTTGTAAACAGTGGGTCAAGCAAGGCAGCTCCCCTGGTAGGCTCCCTCACCAGCTGTGTCAGGAAGTTATCTTCCACACACTCCAGGAACCTCCTGGACTGTTTCCTCTGCTGTGTTGTATTTACAGCAGACATCTAGTAAGTTGAAGTCCCCCATGAGGACAAGGGCTAACAATTGAGAGGCTTCTGCCAATTGCTTATAGAATGCCTTGTCTGCCTCTTCCTCCTGGTTGGGTGGTGTATAACAGACTCCCAGCAGGATATCTGCCTCGTTGGCCTTCCCCCTCATCCTTACCCAGAAGCACTTGGCCTTGTCCTCACAATTGTTAAGCTCTACACAATCAAAACACTCCCTAACATACAAAGGCACCCCACTGCCTCTCCTTCCTTGCCTGTCCCTTCTGAAGAGCTTATAGTCATCCATTGCAGCACTCCAGTCATGAGAGTCATCCCATCATGTTTCTGTGATGGTGACCAAGTCATAGCTACCCTGCTGCACAATGGCTTCCAGCTCCTCCTGTTTGTTGCACATACTGGGTGCATTGGTCTAGATGCACTTCAGTTGAGCTATTGATTTCACCCCCAACGTCAGCATGCCACCCCTAGGTCCATCACTGGTGGGCCTTGTTTTGTCTCCTTTGCCCTTCGAACTTAGTTTAAAGCCTTCTCTATAAGCCCAGCCAACTCATACACGAGAATCCTTTTCCCCTTTCTAGAAAGCTGAACTCCCTCTGTTGCCGTCAGGCCTGGTGCTGTGTAAACCTCCCCATGATCATAGAAACCAAAATTCCATTGATGGCACCAACCTCTGAGCCACATGTTAATCAGGTGTGTTTTCATGTTCCTTTCAATATTCTTGCCTGCCACTGAAGGGATTAGCAAAACATGACCTGTGCTTCGGATCCTTTAACCAATCACCCCAGTGGCCTGAAATCCCTTTTGATTGCCTTTGGATTTCTCTCTGCAATTTCATCGCTACCGACCTGCATAACCAAGAACGGGCAGTAATCAGAGGGCTGTGCCAGACTGGGGAGTTTCCTAGCAACATCTCTAACCCAGGCCCCAGGGTGGCAGCAGTCTTCCCTGTGGGATGGGTCCAGTCGGCATATTGGGCCCGCCGTTCCCCTCAGAAGGGAATCACCTACGACAATTACCCTCCTTTCTTTCTTGAGGCAGTCACAATGCATGGGGCTGACTGTAGGCTTCTCCCTGGTTGGGCCTTCAGGGCCTTAATCTACCTCCTCAGTTGCCTGGTCCTCAACTACTAGAGCCCCATGTCTGTTGTGTATGGGCAGTTGGGAAGATGAGGGAGGCTGAGAGGGGATTCGCCTGCCACCCCGAGCAGGGGCCTCTTTCCATTACCCCCTGGCTCTAAGGTCCCCTCCTTCTGCCTGATGGAGCAAGGGTAGGGGGTCCTCTCCTCCTTGTGGAGCCTCCATCTGCTGCCTTTGCCTCAGGGATGGTAGGATGTGGCTCCCCAGCAATCAATCTCCCTCTTACACTCACTGATGCTCCTTAACCTTTCCACTCCCCCTTTCAGCTCCGCCACGAGGCTGAGCAGATTGTCCACCTGGTCACACTGCACACAGGTGTTGTCCCTGCTGTCCTCTGGCACAAGCGACAGGCTCAGGCACTCCCTGCAGCCCGAGACCTGCACAGCTTTGTGTCTGTTCGGGAGCTCCGTCTGGGTCACCACATTCCTTCTGGCGTTGGCTTTCGGCCGAGTGGAAATCATAGCTTCACCTTTTCTGGGAGGGCGATGGCCACTAGGTCTGTTGGTCTCTAAAGCAAGGAGAGGGACTGCGCCCTGTCTGCATGCCCTGCCTGCATCAACTGCCGCGCCAACTGCAGCACCACTCCCTTCTGACGCGCCACCCCCTGTTTGCCCACGTTGTTCGCTGCACTTAGAACTGTGTTTTAGGTATTTCTGCTGTCTCAAAATAAACACATGCAGATGCTTGTTGATTTGGGGCATAAACATCTATCATTCACTGTATGGCTTTTTTGTAGTAATTTAAGTCTTCCAAAATAAGATCCAGAACTGTCTGAATAAATAATGTATTTAACCAATGTATAAAATATATCGGGAGGAGAGAGACCTATTTCAAAGTCTAGCATCAAATGATTCGGTTTCATATATATAGACATGGAACATGGCTCCTAGATATCTAGGGGTCCATGTAAATCACTCAGTTGACCTTCTGTGCCACTCCTCGGTCTGGAATGGTTTTGGGCAATACATCTGTGCAGTGGTAAGTACTATATATATTTTGCCTTTGTTCCACTCTTTACTTCAATGACTTTTTAATTGAAATTGGGCTTGAAAATACAGGGGGCGCAGAATAAGATAGTTAACGATGGATAGGTGAATGCCAAAAAGACAAAGAGGTGTACATATTTATTTATTTTTAAAAAATTTCTCCTAGCTTAACAATTGCTTGAAGTCAACATAGATATTTTGATATGCATTTTAGAAGTCATCATTATGTGAGCCATTTACCTGCATTGTTCAGAGTGCAAATATTATTGTACATTTGTTGACTCTTTTGTTACTGGAATGTTTGCCAGCATAATTGCAAAGTGTCAGTAGTGGTTTTAATGTGTAGTAACCCCTTCTCTTTTAGTATTGAGTTTTTTTGTCCAGATTTTGTCTTTCCTTTGAATTAACTGTTACTGAAGATTGTGTGGCTTTAAAAAAATTAATTGTAGAGAAAAAAATGTGCATGACTCATATAACAGAAAGTGTCAGTTTGAATTTTTGTTGTTTCTGGAGATGAATACAGCCCAAATACTGATTCTGTGTCATTATTTAATGTGTGCTTCAGGAGTTGGAAGGCTTTTGTCTTTCATAAAGCACCTGATAAATTAGCAATATATTGGGAATGCATTAATACACAGAACTCATCACACATTGTGAAAAAAAAATTCTTGATAGGAGACCCTGCAGGCAGCAAATCTGTAACCTTGTATGTATACAGTGGCTAGTATGGGAGCTGTAATAATATGAGTTAATAACATAATATAAAGGTATATTCACAAAAAAAAAAAAAAAAGATCACCAGGCATTGAGTAAGATAATTTAAAAAGTGATGTTCATTTTCGTCCTTAGAAAAAAAAACAACAATATTCCCACATATATACAGTTTGTGTATTCACAGTGTGGGTTTCTGAAATCTGTGTCTTACAGGTTAAAAACAGTAATAGAAGAACTGATTCAGACACAGCAAACACTTTTGAGCAAAGAGGAACTTGTTTTGGAACTGGAGAAAAAAATAGAAGAGTCCTCTAAGACTTGTGAAAAGAAGTCTGAGTAAGTCAAAATAAAATTTCAAAATATAATAATTTGAGAGAAAAGTGTCTATAATGCAATTCCTAAAGACTTAAATAAGAAGTAACCTCTTGTTCTGCTTTTGTGATAAGTGATTATTTTGAAAAACAGCAATAAGTCAGTTTCCCATCTCTAAAATAGCCCTTACCCACTGCAGAGCCTAATTCACTGGAGAGATGGTCAGCTCCATTAGTTTAATATGATTGTCAGAGCATTACGATGGCTCAAGAACTGGGCCTTTAGTTAGTGTTGTAACTTCAGCTTGATAGAAGAAGAGGAGTCAGTTCAGATTGCTTCTCTGTTTGATGGAGTTACTGTGTAGATATAATTTTGTGAAAGACTTTTCAGAGTCTTGTGCAAGACGTACTCTTTCTTACGCAGTTTGGAACTCATCAGGTTAAGTTCATTCTTCGTTGCATTTTCTTTACAAAACTGAATGTAGATCTGATACCTTATAGTACTGCCTAGTAAATAATGAAGGTGAGGGATTAGTAAGTGTTTTACAGTGCCATAAATAAAATGTTATTATAAAGAATCATTCTTGGGCAAGATCTTTATGTTTTTTCTACCTCTGGTTAGAAAAAATATTCACATCCGAGTTCTAACTGAAGTTAATAGAACAGATAAAGGAACCTTCTGTCTCTAGTGGTGTTTTTCTGATTCTTGTTGCAATCAGTCATAACCTTACTAACTTGGTCATAACAATACCGGTGAATTGGAAAGCAAGTCCTCAGGTAATCCTATCTTTGTTCACAGAAGACTTGAAGCTTTTTGTTGAAGGCATCTTGTCACTTGATACATTGGATAGTTTTGAATTCGTATCCAAAACTTTATGTATGTATATTATACCAGTGTTTCGATTAGATATTTTCCTGTTCTTTCTTTGGTGAAGTACTCAGGGTATATTTTCCAGTTTTTTGATTCTTGACCTATGTTCCGTCTGGCATGTTACTGAAAGGATAAACTTTATTTGAACTAGATAGTTTGGTGGTGAGTTTTGGTTGGTTTTTTTCCCCCTCAGTATTGTTTTGTTATCAGTTATCTCTGTCTGAAAACAGTTCAGAGCATCCTGTGTTTCTTGCTGGGGGCAGGCTCCTTTGATCCTGTAGCAGATGTTTGTGGTGTTGAGGAGGCGATTTCAATTCACATTGCACCAGTGCCTGTAAGTCTTATTAAAAGGTATGACATCTGTCTTAGATTTCTAGCGGTAAGATAAAAGTTTCCCTGAAATCACTTCAGTTCTAATTTGTCATTGGTCGTGCCTTCCTCGAGCAAACCCTGTTTTCACCTTTTAACTGCAGCACAGAGTGATCAAGCTGTTTTTGCACATACATATGATAGTTATTTATTTCTTTGTGTGATGCTTTTAAATACGTGCAGTTTCATGCCAAACCTCAGTTTCAGGTCCTCTAATTGTGTCTTTATAGATCATACTTATCCTTTTTACATGAATCATCATTCTGATCGTAGAATCATTTTGGTTGGAAAAGACCTTTAAGATCATCAGGTCCAACCATTATCCTAACACTGCCAGGCCCACCACTAAACCATGTCCCTAAGCACCACATCTGTACGTCTTTTGAACACCTCCAGGGATGCCCGTTCCGATGCCTAGTTGTTCTCTCAGCAAAGAAATTTTTCCTGATATCCCATCTAAACCTCCCCTGGCGCAGCTCGAAGCCATTACCTCTTGTCTTGTCATTAGTTACTTGGGAGCAGAGACCAACAGCCTCACTACTACTTTCTTTTAGGTAGTTCTAGAGAGCAGTAAGGTCTCCCCTCAGCCTCCTTCATGAGGCTAAACAATCCCAGTTCCCTCAGGTGCTCCTCATAAGGCATGTTTTCCAGACCCTTCACCAGCTTCATTGCCCTTCTCTGGACACGTTCCAGCAACTCAATGTCTTTCCTATACTGTGGCGCCCAAAACCGCACACAGTATTCAAGGTGCAGCCTCACCAGGGCCCAGTACAGGGGCCCCAGATCACTCCCCTACTCCTGCTGGCCACACCATTTCTGATACAGGCCAGGGTGCTGTTGGCCTTCTTGCCCACCTGGGCACACTGCTGGCTCATGTTCAGCTGGCCATCGACCAGCACCCCAGGCCCTTTTCCACAGGGCAGCTTTCCAGCCACTCATCCCCAAGCCTGTAGCGCTGCGTGGGGTTGTTGTGACCCAAGTGCGGGACCCGGCACTGGGCCTTATTAAATTTTGTACAGTTGACCTCAGCCTGTCCAGATCCCTCTGCAGAGCCTCTCTACCCTCGAGCAGATCGACACTCCCACTTAATTTCGTGTCATCTGCAGACTTACTGAGGGAGGACTCAATCCCCTCATCTAGGTCATTGATAAAGATATTAAACAAGACTGGCCCAAATATTGAGCCCAGGAGAACACTGCTTGTGACCGGTGGCCAACTGGATTTAGCTCCCCTTACCACAGCTCTCTGGCCTCGGCCATCCATGGTCGTATTGAATTTTATTCTTTGGTGACTTATACAGTGCTTCTCTATAGGGATATGATTTTTATCTTTTCCTTCCAGTGAGGATTTTATTACAGATGGTTTCCTTATCACTTTGGGTGTCATTTGGCTCAGCATCATTTTGTGAAAGAACAATGTCAATATCAAAACCTTTTAAATTTCTTTTTTTTTCTCCAAGGGCAGGGCTTGCAGGAAGGTCTGTCTTCCAGGGTTTATCCTGAACATCCAGAGTGACAGAATACTGTGATTTTTCTTTATATTTGCCTCATTCTTCATGGTTCTGGTCCCTCTACTCTATTATTGCAGACTGTGAGAACTCTGCCTGTCTTCGTAGACCACATGTCGCTGTGTTCCAGTTATGTGCATTTAAGGGTGTCTATATTGTACTGTGGATGATTCTGTCTTTTAGGCAGCTTCTGTCCATCTTTGGTTTTGGCAGTTCTTTGGGATAATAGAGTCATCTAGGTACCTGTAGATGTTCCAAGTGCTCTGCTTGACCTTCAGTAGTGATTGAATTATGTTTGTCTTGTCTTCAGAGAAAAGCCATAAAAACATGCAGAAGACAAGAAAAAAATTGCTTTTAGGTCCTCATAGAGTTGAATTTATTTAGCTTTGTAAGAAGTAAGTTAGACTGCAGTCCAGAAATACTTATGCAGTAGAGGACCTTTCTGCCCAGAAGAGACAACAGATGTCTCTAACTTGATGCCAGATGGATTAATACTGGATCTAAGGTGAGTTTAATAGGGCAAATTATTGTTGCAACAACTGTGTGGATTGCAGTCGATTTCTCATCACTGGAAATCATAATCTAATCTAAAAATGTATTTCTTATCTGAAGGTTGGGGAACCCTAATGTTTATAAATTCAGTCAAAAGTGGACAAAAATAATAGTTGTATCTATATTTATTGCAACATGTTGTATTAGATTGAGAAAAGAGAATGGCACAGTAGGTGTTTGATTTCATTGTAGCTTTGAAAATTTTCTAAAATTGCTTCATGTGGTTTTGGCAAATAATTCTCTTGAATTTTCATGCCTTTTTTTAATTTAGCTTTTATGAAATAAGTAAATAATATATATTTTTTAATTGTTTGTTATTTTTCTCTGCAGTATTGTACTCTTGCTGAGCCAAAAACAAGCGCTGGAAGAACTTAAGCAAACAGTTCAGCAGTTAAGATGCTCTGAGGCAAAATTTGCAGCCCAGAAAGAACTGCTGGAACAAAAGGTTCAAGAGAATGATGGGAAAGAGCCACCACCTGTAGTGAATTATGAAGAAGATGCCAGATCAGTGACTTCTATGGTAAGTTTTACACCTGTTTTACCGAATTGTGCAGCCTTGTTGTACGTTTGTCTTGGGATCGGAGTCTCAAGATACTCATGGGGGTGACTGAAGTGAATAAATTTCACTTTGCCTTGGTGGAGACTTGTTTAGGAAAAGAGTTTAGTTGTGTGATTTTTTTTAAGTTGCAGCAACTTGTAACACCCTCTGTATGTCTGTGGACTTGGTTTCGTCTTCTATACGCTTGATGCTTAGATTCTCATTAGACTGTTTCATAATCAAAAGTGTAAATCCTTAAATAGATTTAATAAACATGACAGAGTAGCTATTGGTAATTTCGTTGACCATGTTGAAGAAATAAATTCACAGTTGTAGACAGAAAACTAACTGTAAAAGCCACTGGAATCACTGCACACATTGTTAAACATAATTGAGAAATTAGTTTTATGTGCTGTATTACTCTCTTCTTTAAACAAAACCACACTGATTTCTTTGCAACTTATTTTTAAATGTTTATATGCTCTTAATAATCAAAAGGAACTTTTTTGTGCTATGATGAGATCGCACGTAATTTAAGTAAGTACTTTGCTAGTATTTTGTGTGGCTTCATTTTCTCAATTGTATGCAGCTATGGGTAGAGATAGTAGGCCACTTAAAAAAGCAAGCAAACGGTACCTGTTTACTAAAGGGACAAGCAGTAGTGTTTGCTTTTATGAATTAGGTTTGACATACATGAGATGCTTGTGACTTGTTTTCTTTAGAGAGTTAGCCTGCCATTTCTTTTGGCCCACAAGGCAGTAGCTTAGTGAAATAACAATGAAATGGTTGTTTCTGAGAGGAGGAATGCATTTGTTTTCTCTGTCTATTTGTGGAACCAAGTTTGTTCTTTCTTCCATTCCCATTCTACAGTTATACTTAATTGTCAGTATTCTTTTGCTTCCACTACTACCATTTAATATTTACAAGGCACTAGCAGGTGGTTGCCATTTTCACTGGAACAGAACGTTATTTTACAAAGCTTGTATGCTTGTTGTGATCTAGGAGGAGTTGATAAAGCACAAAAAGATGCAAAGGAAGAAATGAAGGATCAGGATAAAGATTGTGAAAGATCAGGAGGCTTGGTATCTTTTTGGGGTGGAGTATCTTGTTAGTTATTTCATGTAATAGCCTATAGTAGTGCTGGTGAGTGTTGTCTGTAAAGGTTAGTTGAGATGATGAGTCTAATCAAGAGAATGGCATTTTTCCACCTCAGTTAGAGATTACTAAAGTATGTTTTCTGCTGTCCAAGTCTCTGTTTCAGTGAGTGGGAGAAAATAATCCTTGCATGTGTGAACAATGCACAGTGAAGAATTCTGTGACCTCTAATTTTTTTAGAATAAAAGTCATCTATGATAGTTTATCTTTTTTGCTGGAGGAGGTACTTACTGAGATTTCTAGGATGATGCAAGAAATGCATTTTTGTATATATTAAATGTACCTAGAGTAAGAAAAGTGTCACTGTTTTGGCTTCAGAGGATTTAGTCTTATAATTGGTACACACCATGAGAAATAAAAGAATATGACTTAAGTGCTGTGCGATTTCCCTTGAGTAGGTTATTTGAGACAGGCTAATACAACTTATGGGTTTTTTTAGCTATCAAGTTGATATCCTGTGCTAGTGAAATTGACTAAAAAGCAGTAGCTACAACTGCAGTCTGAATTAAACTTTTTTCAAATTGCTATACCTTGAGAGAGCAGTCTTGACTGTGTCTCAAGATGAAAAAATAATACACTGATGAGCTATTTGTATAAATAAGCATCCTGGGATGGGGTTTTTTAAGTATAACTTCTTAAAATTATACAGCTCCTAAATGATCAGAAATGAAATGTTCTTACTGCTTATCCTGGCATCGTTCAAGCGGATTGTTGTTTCTTCAGCTATAAATCTGTTTAGGTTTCTCCTCTTTATCTAAAAGCAGTTCATCGAAATGTCGTCTGATACTACTACATTTTAATATGGTTATTTATCCCTCTTCCAAAATTCATCATAAACACTTGTTCTACAAATTCTTTTCCTAAGAATGACAAAATCATAACTGGCTTGTGTTGTGAGCATGCATGTGAAGTACATGTTCATGTATTCAGTCACAAGTGGATATTTTTTGTAATTTAAAATTAAAAATATGATATATAAAACAACTTTGTGAAGTTTTATATCTCTCAAGTATTTACATGGTATCATATAAATACAGGCAATTTCATAGTGGCATGGTTCGCAAATTGTTTTGTTTTCTATCTCTTACATTAGGTAACAGTACAACAGAACACTAACAAGGAATGAAATTCTGAAATGCTGTTTGATGTGTTTTTATAAACAGTATTATGTTATGTCTGTGTTATAATTTCCTTTGTTTCCTTGTTCTTTTTTGCCTCTGTTAACTGTAGGAAGTTTCATATTTTGTTAGTGTCTTCAATATGGTTTAGTTTCATCAACATTGTTTGTGGAATGTTAGCTGTGTATTGGTGTTCATGTACACATTTTAAGAAAAAAGGAAATTGCTGCATGATTCTGTTTTGTTCAATCATGACAGCATAGCAGGGAGTTGAAAGAATTCGGGTTTTGGCCATTCCTGAACCCTGCATTTGACAATTTTGGCATTATATGTGGAAAATGAAAACATATTTTCTTGTTTCTAGGATTTTTACCTTTCTACTGGGATAACTGTGCAAGACTGAGATAATTTTAATGGTGAAGGTGCTACAGGCTTAAAATAATGTCTTTGATCCTCTTAGAGTTATGCAGTTACAATACTATGCACTATATAATTGGGAAAATCGTAGTTAACTTTTTCTTCTATACTGAAAGTAAGGAGATAGAAACTAAGAAAAAAAAATAGTTATTCCTTGTAAACAGCTGGGTTTTTGCCAAAATGTTGTAGCATCCAAATTGTTATATATTATGTCACTTTACAAAAATTAACCAGTGACTGGATGCTTGAACTAACTTTTCGGTGTTTAGGTGTTCAATCACTGGATGTATGGCCGTCATTTGTCCTAAGGTACATGTGCTATTCTTGCTATTATCATCATCAGAGCATGGCAGTAGTCCACCATAATTAAATCAATGAAAACAACAACCAAAAAACTTTTATATGTGTAATGATCCAATTAGAAATAAAAACATCAGGAATATTTGGAATATTGCAGTGCCAGTTAAACATTTACTCAGGTAATGAAGTACAATGAAGGTAGTTTGCATTTCATAGTAAGACTTTAAAATTGCAGCTTTAGTATTGACTTGGAAATTATTACAGGACAGGAAATCTTCTGGGAGTGCTTAAGTCTCGCAATAGATTTAGTTAACATTAAATAGTACTTCATTTTGTTTAGCAATAATACAGTGAAATCTCTATGCCACTTTAATATGTCTTCTCCTTTTTCCTTATGAAGTAAACCAAAGTATTATGAAGGTACAAACCCATTATTTTTAAGAATATGTATTTAAAATTATATGGTTTTCTCACTATAGAAATGTTTCATTTATATTTATTTTGTGTGCTGCAGCATTACACTGGAACCACTGATAAAACTGAGACTTGGTATGCAGGCTCTGCAATAACTTGAAAGACTTGTCAGCAGGTGGAGCTCAGTGCCAGCAGACTCGTTATGACTGGATAATCAAAATTTTTCATCATTATATATGTTTAAAAAAGGCATATGAGACAGAAATGTGGAGGAAAAGATGTGTGTTCTCATCTAACATCTAAGTCATCTGAAATTGTGGTTTGGTTTGATTTTGTTCTGATTTTTTTAAAGGTTTTTTACAAATAATAAATTACAACTGTAATGTAGAAAGACCCTAATATATGGTCTTCAACAGCATGTAAGCCAGCTTAAAAGAGCTGTGCACCTATACTGCCCATGGAGCAACAGTACAAAGTCACCGTTCTTTCTCCATAGACTCCTTAAAGGACTTGCAGTCCAGGTTAGTTTTCAGGATGAAAGGCTCTGGAGTGCAAATGAGTCAGGAGGGAGACAATGTCTCTGGAAACATAAACTTGAGAAAGTCATACAGGCCAGAGGGAAGCTGAAGCATCATGATACCATGATCCAGACAGTGGGATGGATCCAAGTATTAATGCACCCTTCCAGGATAGTGCCATGCTTAAAACTGTACACAGTGAGGTAACAGAAAATGGGTATTAGTAAGAGATTTTAAATTTCTGAATTCTGATTTTATCTGTTATAGCAGAATTATCCAAAAGAAAAAGAAAAAAAGTTCAGTGCATATCTAATTGCTTTTACTATTTGTCATTCCTTTTCAAAAGGCTTCAGAGACCCTATTCTCAGTGATTGCTTTAAAAATAACACAGCTTTTGGTGAAGATGGTGGTAAATAGAAAAAAGTTCTCTTTCTATGGAAGAAAAAAAAACTAAATGCGTGAAACAGTGCTAAAGTGCTAGTTTCATTATTTGTAAATTATTCTAAAAGTACCTTTTTATTTTCCTAATGTGAATGCTTTATATTTCCACCCCTGCTTTCTAGAATCCATGACTCAGTGCTCATTCTAATAGTGTCATCAAAAACCCAATAATCTTAGAGTCTTCCTCTGAAGGTTTGGATTTGAGGCAAATGTTTGCAGGATTCTCACTAAAATCATAATGATCAAATTTAATCAATTTGTATGTTTTGATTTTTTTAAGTCAGTTACATAGATATGAAAGAGCATTTACGGGAGTTGGTTATGTGATTAAAGATGTTTTGTTAAATGATGTATCATAAAGCCCTGAAACATAATCTGCTGAGAGATGTACCTGTGCTCTAGGGGGTCTCCTTTTCCCGTACTGTCTCAGGCTATATAGGATCTTTATTTTTGAACAGATGCAGGGAAATGGTTAGCTTCTGTGATAGTCCATTGTCCCGTCCCACTTGATGGGTTTTGGGGTAGGTGAATCTTCCATATCCTTCCTTGACAGAGACCCTTAACTCAGCAAATGTAGTGAGTCAATAACCCTCTTTGGTCAGTAGATTGGCAGCAATTA